CTTTGCCCCAAACTTTCTAAATGATATACCTAGTTGAATGACATCAAATGAATTTAGGGCTTTGTCATATTATTCATATAGAGTATATGGGAAACAAAATTGGGTTTCGAAGAACCTCGTGTTTCATAATTGTTGAGCTTACTTTCAGTCAAGTTTTCTTGACTCGTTAGCTTGAATTTGATTGTAAGGATGATACCTTGCTCTGATGATGTTCATCATAGAATGGACGAAAGCTTAGCACGTTTTCGCCGGAATTGAGGGAGATTACCTCGGAAATAGCGTCAACATGAGTGTTCCAGTAAGACCAATCGACAATTGGTTAAGAGGAATCCATCGTCGTCTTTTGGTGGAATCGACCTTCGAATCTCTTCACCAAATACTTTCAATCGAAATGGAAGTAAGCTCAACAACATTCATATAGAAACCTACTTATATAGAAAATAAGTTATTGCGTTGATTGTAATGACAACTATATGTTTGCTTTGTCGATATTCCCACTATAAAAACTGTATTTCCTCTATTTCGTTTAATTTGACGAAAGACTGGTAGTTGAATTTTCCCACAATCATATGAATAGATCTCAGTATTCCGTTGAATTTACCATAGCATTACTTCCCAAAAGATATTCGCCTGGGGACTTGGGCTGTAGTTTCGACCTCGCATAGGGCCCATCAGCAACCCCAGCTGGACTCGAACCCTGGTGATGCGGCGTATAATCTCACGAGTGTCCCTGGGCCACAGTGCAGATGTAACTTTCAAAGAAGGCCATATCACATTCTGCGATGAGATTGTTGATGAAGCCAAATTGTATCTGTTATAGCAGTTTTATAAGTAGGTTTTCTAGACTATCAGTAGATCTGATTTAAGAGCTGTATTCACTCTCTTTTGTCCGGAAAACCTATTTATGAAATGAAAAATAGTACAACTTTGCTTCGTCGGCAATCCCACCGCAGAAATAGGAGCTTCATTGAAATTCACTTCTGTCATGTGACTCCGGGGCTTTCGGGGCAATGTGGCATAGTAGTCAACGTGTAGAGATTATACTCTGCGCGGTCATGGTTCGAGCCCTCCTGGGGCTGCTGATGGGCCCTAGGCGAGGTCGAAATTACAGTTCACCCTGGGGGAGAATACCTTATTGGAAGCATGGCTATGAGAAATCCAATGGAATCATGAGAACTATTCATAAGATGGTAGGAAAAATTCGACTGCCCGTCCTTCATCACCTCAAGCGAAATAAGCTGAATACACTTTTGTTATCAGCTTTACTGGCGGCCTCGAAGGCCTACTTACAAGATGAAAAATCCCACAATAACTTTAATTTTAGAGAGGTCTGGATTGCCTTGAATGTCACACACCCGCCTTGTGTCACCTGTACAGTTGTCGCGAAGTGGCAACATGGCCACGATATCCACGATCCGGTATAAAATCCTGTTGAGGGTGCTGATAAGAGATGGTGAGGCGAGTTCGAAGTTGCGGTCCAGTTCAGCCGCCATGAGATGGCCTCTTAGGAGGCCCCTGAGAGTGCAGATTCTTAAAGCACTGCCCATCTCCAGGGCCCTTAGGCTCCCGTTGATTGGATCATACATTCACATTCGCCTCAATCAGCCTTACTGCTCAGTTGGCAACACGAATCAGCTTTTATCGGCCTCTACATCGGCTTTACAGTCACCCCCTCCAACTTGCACAACACACTTTTGCCGACTAGGCTTTTCGTTACGCCGTTGTATCTTCAACCCAGTTTGCGATAGCTGTTCTCCATAATGGCAGTCTACCTTACTCCCTCGTAAGGGCTGCCAATCCGATCGTTTTTTTGAGAAGCCTTATCCATTCTAAAAGTGCACCTATCTCTGCGACTTGTTCATCGCAATTTTTATTGCCGTAGCTGCCTTTATTGCCTGCTGAGCAGTCAATAAGCCTCAACCGTCTGCCTCATACTGGCTTATGTCTAAAACACCTGATGCATTCTGCTTCTGCGCCCTTCTGTCCCCAAAACCGTATCGAAGGGTCCATGAAGAAGTCGTGTGGTTCACGGGTATAACAGTCCATAAACGAAAAAATTCTTTCATTGTTAACACTTTGTCTGACCTCATTTTCGCTGCTGGGTCCAGCTGCCAAGGCGACATCGAAGAAATTACCGTGTCCGATACCCGTTGTCATAGTAGTCACGACAATTTCCAGCTTCGGACTGTGGAATTAGGGCATTCCCGGACGTTTGGCCGGCATCGTATTTGGCCTCGTCAATGATCCTTGCCAGACTCAGCACCAAGTTACAACGTGCCAGAGACAATTCTTAGTTCTACAACCACAACAACAAAGCAGCCCTTCTTCAGCATCCAGCCTTTTTTAAACGAACTGCAAGATACAACAACATGTTGTTGACCCTACTTCCATTTCAAGGGAAAGTGTTTGGTGAAGAGATTCAAAGGTCGAGCCCATCAGAAGACCAACTGTCGATTGGATCTACTGAAACATTCTTGTTGACGCTATTTCTGAGGTAATCTCCTTTGATTCCAATGAAAACGTGCTAAGCTTTCGTCCGTCGTATGGCAAACATCCATACAATTAAATCCAAACTAACGAATCGAGAAGACTCCAAATACTTTTACTCGAAATGGAAGTAGGCTCAACAATTATGAAACAATAGATTCCTTGAAACCCTACATTTCTTCGCATATACAA